TTGTATATAAGTGTAGTTACAGCCCCAGCGAGTGACTGTGAGATATTTATGGTGGTGGTTAATATATATATTTAAATTAGTGTATTTGTATCCCTTCCCCTTTAATTTCACTTGCGTTACGGAACACACCCCTTGAAAGCCACTACTAACTTGGGGCCGGATACCCAAACTCCAATAACATCAGAGAAGAACCCCAGTTGCGACCCAATAGGGCCGTAACAAGATCGAATACTAATGATCCAAAGTGGATAACAAAGGATCTGAAGAACCTTATAAGTAAAAAGATAATGTGGTACAAAAGGATTAGGAATGGGGAAGTCAGTTTAGAACAGGAATTCATACAACTGGTTAGAAATACTAAAAGAGAGATAAGGAAAGCAAAAAGAAACTATGAAGTTCGCATAGCAGAGCAAGCATAGACAAATCCTAAAGGATTTTTCCAGGTATACCGGACATAGATTAGGGAAAGGATAGGTCCATTAAAAACTGACACAGATCAAATAACAGATAATGATGAAGAGATGTAATTTTAGTAATTTTAAAAAATATTTTATATCTGTATTTACTAAAGAGGAACTATGCCTTCAGCCGAACAAGTCTATGTGGGTGGGGACGAGGACAGGTTGACTAGTTTAGCATTTGCCAGGGAGGATGTAATTAAAGAAATAGTTAAACTCAAACCAAACAAATCCCCAGGGCCGGATGAAGTGTTTGCCAGGGTGCTTAAAGAATGCAAAGAGGAGCTTTCCGATCCACTGTCTACCATATTTAATAAATCAATAGAGTTAGGCAAAGTGCTAGAGTTATGGAAAGTTGCTAATGTGATACCAATTTTTAGGAAAGGAGATTACTTGCGTCTAACTATCGACCAATTAGCCTAGCGTCTAACGTGGGAAAGTTACTTGAATCGATAATTGCAAATAAAATTCGTCTTCATCTTGAAAAACACAAATTAATAAATGAGTCGCAATATGGTTTTACAAATGGCCGTTCATGTTTAACAAATTTGCTATCTTTTTAAGAACATAAGAACAAAGGTAACTGCAGAAGGCCTATTGGCCCATACGAGGCAGCTCCTATTTATAACCACCCAATCTCACTCATATACATGTCCAACCCATGCTTGAAACAGTCGAGGTACCCCACCTCCACCACGTTACGCGGCAACTGGTTTCACAAATCAACAACCCTGTTACTGAACCAGTATTTACCCAAGTCTTTCCTAAATCTAAACTTATCCAATTTATACCCATTGTTTCCTGTTCTGTCTTGTGTTGATACTTTTAATACCCTAATAATATCCCCTTTGTTATGTCTATTCATCCACTTGTAAACCTCTATCATGTCACCCCTAACTCTTCGCCTTTCCAGTGAATGCAAATTAAGCTTTGTTAATCTTTCTTCATATGAAAGATTTCTAATTTGGGGAATTAACTTAGTCATCCTACGCTGGACACGTTCAAGTGAATTTATATCCATTCTATAGTACAGCGACCAAAACTGAACTGCATAATCTAAATGGGGCCTAACCAGAGCTAGATATAGCTGAAGAACCACACCAGGTGTCTTGTTACTAACGCTTCGATTAATAAACCCCAGTGTCCTATTTGCCTTATTACGAACATTTATGCATTGATCCTTTTGTTTTAAATTCTTACTAATCAAAACTCCCAGATCCCTTTCGCAATCTCAACACCATCTAGATCGTATCTTGTAACTCTATCATCATTACCTAACCTCAGAACTTTACATTTATCAGCATTAAACTGCATCTGCCAATCCTTTGACCATTTCAAAACCCTATTTAGATCAACTTGAAGAGATAGTGAGTCCTCGTCCGAATAAATATCTCTACCGATTTTTGTATCATCGGCAAATTTGCAAATGTTGCTACTCAAACCTGAATCTAAATCATTTATATATATTATAAATGCACAACTTGCCTAAACATGCAAGAGAGATTATACAACCTTAGAACACTCCCACCAGGAGATTCGAACCCTAACCAGCACAGAAGCCTGAAGTCGTGGAGTGGCCTACGCGGCGGAGCTGATTGGATCCTGCCAGCTACAGGCAGGATTTGTGGTTGAAGGTTTCCACGACGGTGCACCCAGTGGGACTGTGATTGGGCTGGCCTGTGGCCAGGGTAGATAAATCCTAGAGAATCAAAGGATTCATCATGAGGCCACGAGAAGAGAACCAGGGCTACTCATCTTGAGCACCGTAGAGCATCCTGTGTCTTCGGAGGAAGACAAGTTATTGTATATAAGTGTAGTTACAGCCCCAGCGAGTGACTGTGAGATATTTATGGTGGTGGTTAATATATATATTTAAATTAGTGTATTTGTATCCCTTCCCCTTTAATTTCACTTGCGTTACGGAACACACCCGTTGAAAGCCACTACTAACTTGGGGCCGGATACCCAAACTCCAATAACATCAGAGAAGAACCCCAGTTGCGACCCAATAGGGCCGTAACAAGATCGAATACTAATGATCCAAAGTGGATAACAAAGGATCTGAAGAACCTTATAGGTAAAAAGATAGCGTGGTACAAAAGGATTAGGATTGGGAAAGTCAGTTTAGAACAGGAATTCTTACAACTGGTTAGAAATACTAAAAAAGAGATAAGGAAAGCAAAAGAAACTATGAAGTTCGCATAGCAGAGCAAGCAAAGACTAATCCTAAAGGATTTTTCCAGTTATACCGGACATAGATTAGGGAAAGGATAGGTCCATAAAAACTGAGACAGATCAAATAACAGATAATGATGAAGAGATGAGTAGTATTTTTAAAAAATATTTTATATCTGTATTTACTAAAGAGGAACTTAACAATATGCCTTCAGCCGAACAAGTCTATGTGGGTGGGGACGAGGACAGGTTGACTAGTTTAGCAGTTGCCAGGGAGGATGTAATTAAACAAATAGTTAAACTCAAACCAAACAAATCCCCAGGGCCGGATGAAGTGTTTGCCAGGGTGCTTAAAGAATGCAAATAGGAGCTTTCCGAGCCACTGTCTATTATATTTAATAAATCAATAGAGTTAGGCAAAGTGCCAGAGTTACGGAAAGTTGCTAATGTGATACCAATTTTTAAGAAAGGAGATTACTTGCGTCTAACTATCGACCAATTAGCCTAGCGTATAGTGTGGGAAAGTTACTTGAATCGATAATTGCAAATAAAATTCATCTTCATCTTGAAAAACACAAATTAATAAATGAGTCGCAACATGGTTTTACAAATGGCCGTTCATGTTTAACAAATTTGCTATCTTTTTAAGAACATAAGAACAAAGGTAACTGCAGAAGGCCTATTGGCCCATACGAGGCAGCTCCTATTTATAACCACCCAATCTCACTCATATACATGTCCAACCCAAGCTTGAAACAATCGAGGTACCTCAACTCCACCACGTTACGCGGCAACTGGTTTCACAAATCAACAACCCTGTTACTGAACCAGTATTTACCCAAGTCTTTCCTAAATCTAAACTTATCCAATTTATACCCATTGTTTCCTGTTCTGTCTTGTGTTGATACTTTTAATACCCTAATAATATCCCCTTTGTTATGTCCATTCATCCACTTGTAAACCTCTATCATGTCACCCCTAACTCTTCGCCTTTCCAGTGAATGCAACTTAAGCTTTGTTAATCTTTCTTCATATGAAAGATTTCTAATTTGGGGAATTAACTTAGTCATCCTACGCTGGACACGTTCAAGTGAGTTTATATCCATTCTATAATATGGCGACCAAAACTGAACTGAATAATCTAAATGGGGCCTAACTAGAGCAAGATATAGCTTGAGAACCACACCAGGTGTCTTGTTACTAACGCTGCGATTAATAAATCCAAGTGTCCGATATGCCTTATTACGAACATTCATGCATTGATCTTTTTGTTTTAAATTCTTACTAATCATAACTCCCAGATCCCTTTCGGAATCCGACTTCGCAATCCCAACACCATCTAGCTCGTATCTTGTAACTCTATCATCATTACCTAGCTTCAGAACTTTACATTTATCAGCATTAAACTGCATTTGCCAATCATTTGACCATTTCAAAACCCTATCTAGATCAACTTGAAGTGATAGTGAGTCCTCCTCCGAATTAATTTCCCTACCGATTTTCGTATCATCGGCAAATTTGCAAATGTTGCTACTCAATCCTGAATCTAAATCATTTATATATATTATAAACAACAGAGGTCCCAGGACAGAGCCCTGAGGTACTCCACTAACAACATTATCCCACTCTTTCTTGATTCCATTTAAACTGGATCCCATCCCATATTGGAATCCCATTAAATGAAAAAGCTGATGAAATTGCTAAATTGGCAACTCGTCATCCAGTGATACATAAAACAATTCAACCCAGCCTAGAGAACATAAAAAACATCATCACCAAAAAACTCTCACATCTCAACAAAGCCTACCTGCACCAGAGAATAGCTGAAGGTTCGCCATCTGCAACATGGTATCTTCAGGCAACCAAATTAGAAAGGTTAAATATCCCAAAAGGAATCCACAGGGAAATAGCAGATAGGTTATATAGACTACGTCTAGGTTACAGATGCAACTGGGAGATTGGTGAACCCCGACAGAGAGAGTGCATCTTCTGCCAAACTGTCACAGAAAAGCCATTACTTCACTATCTACTGGAATGTGAAGCAACCAATGACCTTAGAAGAGCTTTAAGAGTTCCTGAATCATGCAGTGGCCACCCTGAAGCCATCAACACAGCCACTCTCCTGGTCAACAAAGGTGTCCAGCAGCTGGACACCCTCATAAAGACTGTGAAGCAGTATCCTCCCCCGCGATAACAGCTTGATGGTTAAAAGCAACCTCAGAATACTGAGAAAAAAAAATTGTACCACTTACGGGCTATTCATGCCCGTGCCACCTCTTGGGTGGCTTTATCTTTATCAATCAATCTATCACCCCTCAATCGGCTTTAAACAAGCAATAAGAGAATATTTATCATCCCTTCTCTTAGCCTTTACCTCTGGAAGGGTTTCGACCCAAGCAGAATCAATCAATACCTCATTATCTTCTTAATATGAGTGATAAACTCTACGAGTGTCAAGCGTGTGGGAAAACATTTAGTCGTCTTGGAAATATGAAGAACCACAAAATGGTGCATACTGATCTTAAACCTCGCACTTGTCTCGAATATGGTGAAAGTTTCTGCCAAACTGGAACTCTGAAAAAACTCAAGAGGGCAAATTTGGGTAGTAAATCATATGAGTGTTTTGAGTGCGGAGAAACGTTCAGCCGAATAAAAAATTTAAAGAAACACAAAATGATGCACAAAGGTGAAAAGCCCTTCAGCTGTGATGTTTGTGGAAAGAATTTCAGTACCCGTCGAAATATAATTAGGCACTTGTTAGTACACTCTGGTGAGAAATCCCACGAGTGTTCAGAGTGTGGGAAAAGATTCTCTTGATATGACTTTTTGAAGAAACACAGAATTGTGCATACGAGAGATAAACCCGAGTGTCCAGAGTGTGGGAAAAAAATCGGTGCACTTGGAACTATGAAGAAACACATGATGGTGCACACGGGTGAAAAGCCTCATAGGTGTAATGTGTGTGGGAAAAATTTGAGTAGTCGTAGCAGTCTAAATGATCACATGTTAATGCATACTGGAGAAAAACCTTTCAAGTGTGATGAGTGTGGAAAAAGTTTCAGGTATCGTAGCCATATAGTTAGGCACATGATAGAGCATTCTGGTGAGAAACCTTACGAGTGTCTAGAATGTTGTAAAAAATTCTTTCGAAATGAACATTTGAAGAGCCACCGAATAGTGCATACTAGAGAAAAATGTCAGACTGAGAAAAAGATTCATTCAACTTGGAGCTATGAAAACACAGAGGATTATGCATACAAGTTTGGTCAGTTTATGATAAGATTTCTCATAATTTCGAGTGAAATAGATTTTCATTTTATTGCACAATATGTTTATAATTACTAGATCATAATATGTATTTTATTGGTGTAAGTAATAATTTTTTTATCCCACTATCAAAGCTTCTTTTTTCTTCCTACTCTTGGTGATATTGTTTCTATGAAAACAGGTTAAATTTAAGACTTAAAATATAGGTCCTTAAATTTAACCTTAATTTAGGTTAAATATTGCTAAGGAAATTTAATCCTCAAAATTAAGCATTCAAAATGGATTTTATGATGACTTACCTTTTAACTGCCAAAAAATACTGTTACAAAATTAAGAGAAAACTAATAAAATCATATGAAACTTCAAGTGAACTATTTGGATAGAACTTGATCTCTCAAATGCCAGAGATAGGGGGAACAAGTTAAGTGTTTGCTATCCAGGAGCTTGAATTGGTGATATTGTTAACAATATCACCAATCCCGTGGATGAATGTAGAAAATAGAGAACTATTAGCTGAATATCAAATAAATGGATTTAAACTATTTCACACAGATAGATATATTAGACGAGGAGGTGGAGTAGCCATATATGTTAGGGACAATTTGAAATGTAATCTCAAAGAGGGAATCAAAACTGAGCCACACACAGAAACTATTGATATTGTTGACAATATCACCCTCCCGCCTCCCACCCCACACACAAAACACATAATATGCTACCAAAACACATAACGTATTACGCACCCGCCGCGAATAACCCGGAAAATACAAAAACAAAAACTGCAAAACATCACCCCGACAACCCGGACCACAAAACACCTCCAGGACATCCCGAAACCAGTCCACCAACCCCAGCAACCGGACACAAAAAAAATACATGCACCTGCGATTCACTTAAACCCTCACAATGAACACATGCCTCAGAATCACGCAAGCCAAGCATACACAACCGCTCATTCGTTGCAAGCGACAAATGCAGAAACTGAAAAAGCAATTCACGCTGCTGAGGCGCCAAGAACCGTTCCCCCAAACACTACCAGATACCACCCCAATCCCAACACGGGTATAAGCCATCCACTCGAGGCCGCACCCAGGGCAATAACACCCCATACACAGCCTTGCACGAGATTGACAGAAACCCAGGATGGCGGCAGAGCTCCCGAAGAATCCCCACGGCCGAAGAACAACCAGGGGGGAGGGGGGGTAAACAAGGCCACCTCCCGACAAACCCCCAAATCAACCAAATAAGTGAAGTGAAGTGAGCAGAAAAAAAACAGCCAGTGTATTCAACCCCCCACAGATAACCAGCCCCTGATGCAACGAGACCCAGAAGAGGGCCTTGGCCTTCGTGAAGACGTCAAGAATGCCAACACCCCCCTCTCTCACCAACGTCGAACGGCACACCGGTTGTTAACGCCCACACCATACATATATGTACACCATATACTCAAAATCCAAGGCCTTCCGACGATCCAACGGGAAACATCGAGCCACAAACCAGACACGCGACAAGACCTTACATGCAACAAGCAGTCCCCGCTGATAAATCGTCAAAGGACGATGCGACAAGAGGCCAACCGCAACCCCCAACCGACCGAGAGACAGCACCCCAATTCCACTCCAAGAAGTGATCATAGGAGGCAAACCAAGTAACCCCAAGAACCCGAATCGAGGAGACCACCGGAAACCACGACCTATCCCACACCAAGCGGGAGGCCCACACACCGATCCCCATCAACCCCGACTTCGCCAGATTAAGAACGGCCCCCGTGGCGGACTCAAACCGCAGGAGAACGTCCTTGACAGCTCCAACAGAACCCTCCGAAGCTACAAACAGAACGGTGTCGTCAGCATACCCACAAATGCTGAGGGTATGCAGACAAGGAGGCACAATCAAGGAACACGCTTTCACCGCCCGAAAGAGAGGTTCCTGAAAAATCACATACAAAAGCATTAACAAGGGACACCCCTGACGAACGGAACGACAAATAGGAAAAAATGAACTAAAAAACCCATTCACACAAACGCGACTGCGACTCCGGACGAACAACAAATGGACCCAACCCACAAACACCGCCGGAAACCCTAGCTGCTCCATAGCACTAAAAACAAACTCCAAAGACACCCGATGAAAGGCCTTTGACCAGTCCAAGCTGATCGTAGCCGCCGAAAGCCCATACTCGGACGCATAGAGAAGCACGTCACGAAATAAAGCATTGCAATGCATAGGGCACGGCCAGGCACACCACATAACTGCTCCATAGAGACCACCGACACAACGACACCGCAACAGCGACGCGCTAAAACTTAGACAGAATTTTATAGTCAACATTCAAGAGCGTAATAGGCCTCCAATTCGAAAACAACTGCAAATCGCCCGAATTTGGGAGCAGCCGTACGATCCCGTCTCAAAAGGAATGAGAATCGAAGCGAATTTTGGTTGTGGGAGATTCCCAGGTGAGGTATTTAGACAGAACGTTTTGTGCCAGAGATAGGGGGAACAGATTAAGGGTTTGCTATCCGGGAGCTGGAATTGGTGATATTGTTGGAAACATGAATGATATTATGACGGGAAATGGGAACAAACCCATTATTTGTATTAGTGCAGGGGGTAATGATGTTGGGCGAGTTAGGAGTGAGGAACTAATACAGAGACTTAGGACAGCCATTGAATTAGTTAGGAGCAAGGGAGGAATCCTGATCATATGTGGCATTCTTCCAAGAAAGGGAGTGGGAAATGAATGGATGTCGAGGGCACTTGGTGTCAATTGCCGGCTGGAAAGATATTGCAAATCAAATGCAATATCTTTCATAGACAACTGGGAACACTTCTATGGAAGAAATGAAATGTATGCTCGTGATGGGGTGCATCTATCGAGGGCTGGGGTTGTTGCTGTTGTGAACTCGTTGGAAGAAGTGGTTAGAGGTGTTTGTTTGGGTTTAAACTGTTAGTAGATAGTGGTATGGGAATTGATTTGGAGGAAGGAGGTAATAAAAGTATGTGTTCGTGGGAGAAAAGAACTGGCAAAATGATCAGGGAAAGAAAAGGGCCTCAAAATAACAATTCACTTAGGATATATTACACTAACAGTAAAAGTCTAAAAAATAAAATTAATGAATTAAATGCTCTTGTCTGCACAGAAAAAATAGATATTATTGCACTTACCGAAACGTGGATGAATGTAGAAAATAGAGAACTATTAGCTGAATATCAGATAAATGGATTTAAACTATTTCCCACAGATAGATATATTTGACGAGGAGGGGGAGTAACCATAAATGTTAGGGACAATTTGAAATGTAGTCTCAAAGAGGGAATCAAAACTGAGCAACACACAGAAACTATTTGGATAGAATTAAACGAAAAAGCAAATAATATTATAATAGGAGTTATATATAGGCCACCAAATTTAGACAGAATGGAAGCAAAGCATCTATGGGATGAAATATCTAGAGCATCTAGATCTAACAGTATTTATGTCATGGGTGACTTTAATTTTAGTGGAATAAACTGGGTGAACAAAACAGGGAATAGTGAAGCAGAAGATTTTCTAGAATTAATTGACGATTGCTTTCTTACGCAACACATTAAGGAACCAACGCGGGAAAATAATATTTTAGATTTAGTGTTAACTAACAGGGAAACACAAATTAATGACATCGAAATAGGGAGTGAGCTAGGGAACAGTGATCACAAAGTAATCAGATTTAGCATAGAATGGAATAGACCTGTAGGAGAAAATTCTGTTAAAGTGCCAGATTTTCGAAAAGCTGATTTTAATAGCCTAAAAATTTTTTTGGGTCATATTGATTGAAAAGTCTTGGGTATGGGGTGTGGGCCGGTCTTGGAGCGAGACATGAACCCAGCGATAAATGGGGATTTCGATGTGGATTCAATATATAACTTATTTAAGAATATTCTAAACAAAGCACAGGAACGTAGTATACCATACAAATTGAATAGATCGAATATTAATGACCCAAAGTGGATAAAAAATAATTTAAAGAACCTTATAGGTAAAAAGAGAGCTTGGTACAAAAGGATCAAGTATGGGGAAGTCAGGTTAGAACAGGAATTCATACAACTGGTTTGAAATAAACCAGTTGTATTAAATCTCTACTAAAAAAGAGATTAGGAAAGCAAAAAGAAACTATGAAGTTCGTATAGCAGAGCAAGCAAAGTCAAATCCTAAAGGGTTTTTTCAGTTATATCGAACTAAGACTAGGGAAAGGATAGGTCCATTAAAATCTGAGACAGGTCAAATAACGGATAATGACAAGGAGATGAGAAGTATTTTTAACAAATATTTTATATCTGTATTTACTAAAGAAAAACTTAATAATATGCCTTCAGCCGAACAAGTCTATGTGGGTGGGGATGAGGACAGGTTGACTAGTTTAGCAGCTACCAGGGAGGATGTAATTAAACAATTAGAAAAACTAAAACCAAACAAATCCCCAGGGCCGGATGAAGTGTTTGCCAGGGTGCTTAAAGAATGCAAAGAGGAGCTTTCCGAGCCACTGTCTACCATATTTAATAAATCAATAGAGTCAGGCAGAGTGCCAGAGTCATGGAAGGTAGCTAATGTGGTACCAATTTTTAAGAAAGGAGATAGATCACTTGCGTCAAACTATCGGCCAATTAGCCTAACGTCTATTGTGGGAAAGTTACTTGAATCAATAATTGCAAATACAATTCGTCTCCATCTAGAAAAACATAAATTAATAAATGAGTTGCAACATGGTTTTACAAATGGCCGTTCATGTTTAACAAATTTGCTAACTTTTTATTCCAGCATAGTTGAGGCAGTTGATAGTGGTAAGGATTGTGATGTTGTATACCTTGACTTTAGCAAAGCTTTTGATACAGTGCCACATGAAAGACTAATTAAAAAAATAGAAGCTCATGGTATTGGGGGTGCTATATTAAGTTGGATTAGAGCATGGCTATTCCAAAGGAAACAGAGAGTTAGTATAAATGGGGTTAAGTCAGAGTGGGATAATGTTGTTAGTGGAGTACCACAGGGCTCTGTCCTGGGACCTCTGTTGTTTATAATATATATAAATGATTTAGATTCAGGTTTGAGTAGCAACATTTGCAAATTTGCCGATGATACGAAAATCGGTAGGGAAATTAATTCGGAGGACTCACTATCATTTCAAGTTGATCTAGATAGGGTTTTGAAATGGTCAAAGGATTGGCAAATGCAGTTTAATGCTGATAAATGTAAAGTTCTGAGGCTAGGTAATGATGATAGAGTTACAAGATACGAGCTAGAGGGTGTTGAGATTGCGAAGTCGGATTGCGAAAGGGATCTGTGAGTTATGATTAGTAAGAATTTAAAACAAAAGGATCAATGCATGAATGTTCGTAATAATAATAAGGCGAATAGGACACTGGGATTTATTAATCGAAGCGTTAGTAACAAGACACCTGGTGTGGTTCTTAAGTTATATCTTGCTCTGGTTAGGCCCCATTTAGATTATACAGTTCAGTTTTGGTCGCCGTATTATAGAATGGATATAAATTCACTTGAACGTGTCCAACGTAGGATGAACATAAGAACAAAGGTAACTGCAGAAGGCCTATTGGCCCATACGAGGCAGCTCCTATTCTATAACCACCCAATCCCACTCATATACTTGTCCAATCCACGCTTGAAACAATCGAGGGACACCACCTCCACCACGTTACGCGGCAATTGGTTCCACAAATCACAAAATTGGTTCTCCACATACGAGAGATAAACCCGAGTGTCCAGAGTGTGGGAAAAAAATCGGTGCACTTGGAACTATGAAGAAACACATGATGGTGCACACGGGTGAAAAACCTCATAGGTGTAATGTGTGTGGGAAAAATTTGAGTAGTCGTAGCAGTCTAAATGATCACATGTTAATGCATACTGGAGAAAAACCTTTCAAGTGTGATGAGTGTGGAAAAAGTTTCAGGTATCGTAGGCATATAGTTAGGCACATAATAGAGCATTCTGGTGAGAAACCTTACGAGTGTCTAGAGTGTTGTAAAAAATTCTTTCGAAACGGACATTTGAAGAGCCACCGAAGAGTGCATACTAGAGAAAAATTTCAAGACTGAGAAAAAGATTCATTCAACTTGGAGCTATGAAAACACACAGGATTATGCAAACAAGTTTGGTCAGTTTATGATAAGAAATTCTCATAATTTCGAGTGAAATAGATTTTATTTTATTGCACAATGTTTATAATTACTAGAACATAATATGTATTTTATTGGTGTAAGTAATAAAATTTTTATCCCACTATCAAAGCTTCTTTTTTCTTCCTACTCTTGGTGGTATTGTTTTTATGATAAATCTATGATTGGTAGATAAATCTATGAAAACAGGTTAAATTTATGACTTAAAATATAGGTCCTTAAATTTAACCTTAATTTAGGTTAAATATTGCTAAGGAAATTTAATCCTCAAAATTAAGCACTCAAAATGGATTTTATGATGACTTACCTTTTAACTGCCAAAAAATACTGTAACAAAATTAAGAGAAAACTAATAAGATCACATGAAACTTCAAGTGAACTATTTGGATAGAACTTTTGTGCCAGAGATAGGAGGAACAAGTTAAGTGTTTGCTATCCAGGAGCTTGAATTGGTGATATTGTTAACAACATGAATGATATTATGACTGGAAATGGGAACAAACCCATTATCTGTATCAGTGCCGGTGGAAATGATGTTTGACGAGTTAGGAGTAAGACGTTGATACAGAGGTTTAAGACAGCAACAGAATTAGTTAGAAGCAAAGGAATCCTTATCATAAGTGGCATTCTTCCAAGAGATCGAGTTAAAAATGAATGATTGTCGAAGGCACTTGCCGACTGGACAAATATTGCAAATCAAATGGATAACAGGAAACATCTATGGAAGGAAAGACATGTGTGCATCTATCTAGGGCTGGGGTTGCTGTTGCGAGCTCATTGGAACCTGTTGTCATAGGGTTGTTTAGGTTTAAATAGTTACTAGATAGTGATAGGGAATTGATATGGAGATAGGAGGTAATAAATATATGAGTTTATGAGGAAAACAAATTGGCAAATGAACCTGGAAAGAGAATTGCCTCAAAATAAAAATTCAATTAGTCATATATTACTTGAACAATGTGAGTCAAAGCAGAAGATTTTCTAGAATTAATTGACGATTGCTTTCTTACGCAACACGTAAAGTAACCAACGCGGGAAAATAATATTTTAGATTTAGTGTTAACTAACAGGGAAACTCAAATTAAGGACATCGAAATAGGGAGTGAGCTAGGGAACAGTGATCATAAAGAAATCAGATTTAGCATAGAATGGAATAGATCTGTAGGAGAAAATTATGTTAAAGTACCTGATTTTCGAAAAGCTAATTTCAATAACCTAAGAAATTTATTGGGTGAAATAGATTGGAAAGTCTTGGGTATGGGGTGTGGGCCGGTCTTGGAGCTAGACGTGAACCCAGCGATAGGTGACGTAAAAGGGTTTTTCGATGTGGATTCAAAATATAACCTATTTAAAAATATTCTAAGCAAAGCCCAGGAACGTAGTATACCATATAAATTGAATAGATCTGTTACTGACCCGAGTCCAGCATCCGAGCACGGAGCAGTGACGACAACGCCATCTGTGGGTCAGCTCCCGAAACCCCCTCCAAATGGACGACGCCATCTAGCGAGGGCGGGATATACCGGCCACAGGGGCTGGTTTCCCGTCTTAATCAAATGCTGACCTCTGGTGAGGTGACGCTTAGACAGCAACGCCATCTATGGAGTGGCGTTGCTGTCTACGTTGCTCCGTTGATCAATCAACGGAGCTGTCAATCAGCTCCGTTGCTACGCGGCGGAGCTGATTGGATCATGCCAGCTACAGGCAGGATTTGTGGTTGAAGGCCTCCACGACGGTGCATCCAGTGGGACTGTGATTGGGCTGGCCTGTTGCCAGGGTAGATAAATCCTAGAGAATCAAAGGATTCATCATGAGGCCACGAGAAGAGAACCAGGGCTACTCATCTTGGATGAGTAGATCTGTTACTGAAGCTACTCAGAGCATCCTGTGTCTTCGGAGGAAGGCAAGTTATTGTATATAAGTGTAGTTACAGCCCCAGCGAGTGACTGTGAGATATTTATGGTGGTGGTTAATATATATATTTAAATTAGTGTATTTGTATCCCTTCCCCTTTAATTTCACTTGCGTTACGGAACACACCCCTTGAAAGCCACTACTAACTTAGGGCCGGATACCCAAACTCCAATAACATCAGATAACAGTGGATTACAAAGGATAAAAATGGATAACAAAGGATCTGAAGAACCTTATAGGTAAAAAGATAATGTGGTACAAAAGGATTAGGAATGGGGAAGTCAGTTTAGAACAGGAATTCATACAACTGGTTAGAAATACTAAAAGAGAGATAAGGAAAGCAAAAAGAAACTATGAAGTTCGCATAGCTGAGCAAGCATAGACAAATCCTAAAGGATTTTTCCAGGTATACCGGACATAGATTAGGGAAAGGATAGGTCCATTAAAAACTGACACAGATCAAATAACAGATAATGATGAAGAGATGTAATTTTAGTAATTTTAAAAAATATTTTATATCTGTATTTACTAAAGAGGAACTATGCCTTCAGCCGAACAAGTCTATGTGGGTGGGGACGAGGACAGGTTGACTAGTTTAGCATTTGCCAGGGAGGATGTAATTAAAGAAATAGTTAAACTCAAACCAAACAAATCCCCAGGGCCGGATGAAGTGTTTGCCAGGGTGCTTAAAGAATGCAAAGAGGAGCTTTCCGAGCCACTGTCTACCATATTTAATAAATCAATAGAGTTAGGCAAAGTGCTAGAGTTATGGAAAGTTGCTAATGTGATACCAATTTTTAAGAAAGGAGATCACTTGCGTCTAATTATCGACCAATTAGCCTAGCGTCTAGCGTGGGAAAGTTACTTGAATCGATAATTGCAAATAAAATTCGTCTTCATCTTGAAAAACACAAATTAATAAATGAGTCGCAATATGGTTTTACAAATGGCCGTTCATGTTTAACAAATTTGCTATCTTTTTAAGAACATAAGAACAAAGGTAACTGCAGAAGGCCTATTGGCCCATACGAGGCAGCTCCTATTTATAACCACCCAATCTCACTCATATACATGTCCAACCCATGCTTGAAACAATCGAGGTACCCCACCTCCACCACGTTACGCGGCAACTGGTTTCACAAATCAACAACCCTGTTACTGAACCAGTATTTACCCAAGTCTTTCCTAAATCTAAACTTATCCAATTTATACCCATTGTTTCCTGTTCTGTCTTGTGTTGATACTTTTAATACCCTAATAATATCCCCTTTGTTATGTCCATTCATCCACTTGTAAACCTCTATCATGTCACCCCTAACTCTTCGCCTTTCCAGTGAATGCAACTTAAGCTTTGTTAATCTTTCTTCATATGAAAGATTTCTAATTTGGGGAATTAACTTAGTCATCCTACGCTGGACACGTTCAAGTGAATTTATATCCATTCTATAGTACAGCGACCAAAACTGAACTGCATAATCTAAATGGGGCCTAACCAGAGCTAGATATAGCTGAAGAACCACACCAGGTGTCTTGTTACTAACGCTTCGATTAATAAACCCCAGTGTCCTATTTGCCTTATTACGAACATTTATGCATTGATCCTTTTGTTTTAAATTCTTACTAATCAAAACTCCCAGATCCCTTTCGCAATCTCAACACCATCTAGATCGTATCTTGTAACTCTATCATCATTACCTAACCTCAGAACTTTACATTTATCAGCATTAAACTGCATCTGCCAATCCTTTGACCATTTCAAAACCCTATTTAGATCAACTTGAAGAGATAGTGAGTCCTCCTCCGAATAAATATCCCTACCGATTTTTGTATCATCGGCAAATTTGCAAATGTTGCTACTCAAACCTGAATCTAAATCATTTATATATATTATAAATGCACATCTTGCCTAAACATGCAAGAGAGATTATGCAACCTTAGAACACTTTCCCACCAGGAGATTCGAACCCTAGCCAGCACAGAAGCCTGAAGTCGTGGAGTGGCCTACGCGGCGGAGCTGATTGGATCCTGCCAGCTACAGGCAGGATTTGTGGTTGAAGGCCTCCACGACGGTGCACCCAGTGGGACTGTGATTGGGCTGGCCTGTGGCCAGGGTAGATAAATCCTAGAGAATCAAAGGATTCATCATGAGGCCACGAGAAGAGAACCAGGGCTACTCATCTTGAGCACCGTAGAGCATCCTGTGTCTTCGGAGGAAGACAAGTTATTGTATATAAGTGTAGTTACAGCCCCAGCGAGTGACTGTGAGATATTTATGGTGGTGGTTAATATATATATTTAAATTAGTGTATTTGTATCCCTTCCCCTTTAATTTCACTTGCGTTACGGAACACACCCCTTGAAAGCCACTACTAACTTGGGGCCGGATACCCAAACTCCAATAACATCAGAGAAGAACCCCAGTTGCGACCCAATAGGGCCGTAACAAGATCGAATACTAATGATTCAAAGTGGATAACAAAGGATCTGAAAAACCTTATAGGTAAAAAGATAGCGTGGTACAAAAGGATTAGGATTGGGGAAGTCAGTTTAGAACAGGAATTCATACAACTGGTTATAAATACTAAAAAGAGATAAGGAAAGCAAAAAGAAACTATGAAGTTCGCATAGCAGAGCTAGCAAAGACAAATCCTAAAGGATTTTTCCAGTTATACCAGACATAGATTAGGGAAAGGATAGGTCCATTAATAACTGAGACAGATCAAATAACAGATAATGATGAAGAGATGAGTAGTATTTTTAAAAAATATTTTATATCTGTATTTACTAAAGAGGAACTTAACAATATGCCTTCAGCCGAACAGGTCTATGTGGGTGGGGACGAGGACAGGTTGACTAGTTTAGCAGTTGCCAGGGAGGATGTAATTAAACAAATAGTTAAACTCAAACCAAACAAATTCCCAGGGCCGGATGAAGTGTTTGCCAGGGTGCTTAAAGAATGCAAAGAGGAGCTTTCCGAGCCATTGTCTACCATATTTAATAAATCA